CCTGGCAGGCCCAGCGGGGGGCCGAAGAAAAAGTAGAAAAAAACGGTCTTCAGGCCTCCTCGTTCTAGAGGAACCTTGAATAGCCCCTTTTTGGGGCAACAAGTAGGTGTGTGCAGGCCTCACTGCATTCAGTGGCGCTAGCGCAAGCTCCTTTTTGGGGCAACAAGTAGGTGTGAGCAGGCCTCCTCGCATCCGCGGAACCTTGCTCAAGCTCCTTTTTGGGGCAACAAGTAGGTGTCTCCCGGCATCCCGGGAGCCTTGAACAAGCTCCTTTTTGGGGCAACAAAGCTAAATGGAGGCGCTGAGGGACCTGGCCGACGACTTCAACGTGAGGGACCCGCGGAAGCTGTACCGACTTGCGAGGCAGCGCGACCTCGACGTGACGCAGGCCATGGCCTTCGAGGCGCTGAAGGCCGTCGGCCGCCGAGGGGCCCAACGACCGGCTGCAGGCCGACCTCATCAACTTCAGCCAGAACACGCGGGGGAAGACGAAGTACGGCCTGGACGTCTTCAACCGGGAGGCCGCCGTGGAACCTCTGCAGAACAAGAACGCCGAGACGGTGGGCCGCGCCACCAAGCGCGCCGCGCGGGAGCTGACGGGGGACGACGGGAACTTTGTGGTCACGACAGACCTGGGCAACGAGTTCGCCACGCTGGACCGGGAGCTGCCCGAAGCCGTGCGCCGGACGAAGCGGCCCGAGGACCGCAACGCCATTGCCGTGGTGGACCGGGGCATCCAGACGCTGAAGAAAGACCTGGCCACGAGGGTGGCGCGCAAGGGCGGGCAGTGGAGCGACCACTTTCAGCAGACCGCTTCGGCCTACAACGCGCGGCCCCACGAGACGGTGCACGGCGCGCCCGAGGACGTGGAGAAGCAGCCGGCCACGGAGTTCAGGGTCCTCCAAGACAACGCCGACAAGTTCCAGCACAACAAGGACCTCACCGAGCGGCGCGTGAAGGCGGTGGAGGACGCGGGCGCCTTCCGAGCGCCGACGAACGCGGCGAGGAGCTTCAACCCTCAGTACGGCGACGTGCAGCGGCTGGGGGCCGTGGACTCCATGACCGTCCGCAGCACGGAGGGCCGGGAGACCCTGCTGAAGCTGGCGCTGCCGGCGCCGCAGGGCAGCGGCAACGCGGCGGCCGGCTGACGAGACGGGGCAGGCCGGCGGCTGTGAGGCAGCTGGACGACTTCCTGGCGCCTCCGAGGCCCAGGACCCTCGACTAGCCTTCTTGGACATTGCGCAGGCTGGGGAGGAATTCCCGGAGCCTGCTCAAGCCCTTTTTGGGTTAGGGTTTGGGGTGCTCGGGAAACCAACGGGTTGGGCGAACCAATCAAATGAGCGGGGGCTGGCGTGGGCAAACCGTGCAAAACCGTGCAAAAAAGCTATTACTCCAGGGTGTACATACATGTACGGCCTGTAGTAATAGCATTTTGTAGCGCAAAACCGTGCAAAACGAGCTATTCTTACAGGCCGTACATACATGTACACCCTGGAAGAATAGCATTTTGTGGCGCAAAACCGTGCAAATGTCCCTTTAGGGTTTGGGGTCCTCGGCAAACCAAAAAAAAAAAAAAAAAAAAAAAAAAAAAAAAAAAAACAGGGTTGGGCGGGCGGACCATTGAAAAACGAAACCCCCCAGGCACGTTGGGCAGACCAGTACTCAAAAAAAAATCCGAAACCCCTCCAGACCCGTTGGGCGAACCATTGAAAAACGAAACCCCTCCCGGGCCTTGGGCGGACCATTGAAAAACGAAACCCCTCCCGGGCCCGTTGGGCGGACCATTGAAAAACGAAACCCCTCCCGGGCCCGTTGGGCGAACCATTGAAAAAAACGACCCTACCCCGCAGACCCGTTGGGCGAACCATTGAAAAAAAACCGACCCCTACCCCGCAGACCCGTTGGGCGGACCATTGAAAAACGAAACCCCTCCCGGGCCCGTTGGCGGACCATTGAAAAAAAAAATCCGAAACTCCTCCCGGGCCCGTTGGGCGGACCATTGAAATTTTTTTTCCGAAACCCCTCCCGGGCCCGTTGGGCGAACCATTGAAAAAAAACCGACCCCTACCCCGCAGACCCGTTGGGCGAACCATTGAAAAACGACCAACCCCTACCCCGCAGACCCGTTGGGCGGACCATTGAAAAACGAAACCCCTCCCGGGCCCGTTGGGCGGACCATTGAAAAAAAAATCCGAAACTCCTCCCGGGCCCGTTGGGCGGACCATTGAAAAAAAAAATCCGAAACTCCTCCCGGGCCCGTTGGGCGGACCATTGAAAAAAAAATCCGAAGCTCCTCCCAGGCCCGTTGGGCGGACCATTGAAAAAAAAGAATCCGAAACCCCTCCCGGCTAAGCTGGTTTAGCAGCGGGGTAAGTGCTAAGAGGTCCGCGTCTCTTTTTCTAGGTAAAACGGCAAAACGGTAAAACCGTAAAACCGTTTTACCGTTTTACCGTTTTACCGTTTTACCTACAAGGTAAAACCGTAAAACTGTAAAACCGTAAAACCGTTTTACCGCAAAACCGTAAAACCGTAAAACCGTAAAACTGTTTTACCGTTTTACCGTTTTACCGTTTTACCGTTTTACAGCGCGCAGCATGATACCCTTGTTAGGGTTGATTCCTAGTCGGCTCTGTGCAGCCTTTAAAACACAATGATTCTTGGCTGGTTTTCTGAACAGAAGGGGCTTTGGAAAGACTGGGGAAGTTAATTATATGCAGATTTGGGGGTGGCCTAAGAAGCGTAGAGCTTTTGAGAGTTACTCCTATTTGTGCTTGGGTTGGGTCCTCGGTTTCAATTGGTATGTGTTTGAAAGCCTTCACGTGCACTTTCCGCACACACATTTCCCCAGAAGATGTCTAGTAATTCGACAGAGTCAAGCATCACAGTTTTTCACGTGAATGCGCATCTCTTTGGGGGCTGTTTACTGGCCAAAAAGATGTCAAGTCAATGGAAAGAGTCAAGCATCACAGTTGTATGTATTTATGTATGTATGTATGTATGTATGTATGTATGTAATGTATGTATGTATGTATGTAATGTATGTAATATGTAATGTATGTAATGTATGTATGTAAGTAATGCAATGTAATGTAATGTAATGTAAGGTAAGGTAATGTAATGCAATGTAATGTAATGTCATGTGTGTATGTATGTAGTGTATGTATGTAGGTCCGTCTGTCTGTATGTATGTATGTATGTATGTATGTATGTATGTACATATGTATGTATGTATGTAATGTAATGTAATGTAAAGTAATGTAATGTATGTATGTATGTGATGTGATGTAATGTAATGTAATGTAATGTAATGTAATGCAATGCAATGTAATGTAATGTATGTATGTATGTAATGTATGTATGTAGGTCTGTCTGTCTGTCTGTATGTATGTATGTATGTATCCTTGCACTTCACCTTTGCTCCCCAGTATTTCGTGCAAAATACACGGTTTTCCCGCGCTTTCGCAGAGAGGATGTCGACACCGACTACGTTTAGTGGAACGTCATCAAATTGCCGCGCGGTACGTGGGGGCCCCCCCCCCCAAAAAAAAACCTACGTAATAGACGTGCGGGGGGGGGGGGTTGGGGGGGGGGTTATCCTCTATCCTCTCTTAGGTGTCCGACACGCCGAGCAATGTCGGCGGACTCACGCCCCCATCACAGGATGCTTTGCCCTCTGGCTTTCTCGGTTTTCTGATCTTCGGGTTTTCGGGTTTTCAGGTCTTCTGGCTTTTGTTTTTGTTCTCCTGGTTTTCTAATTGTATTGTTTGAGGGTGTTCTGGTCTTCTAGTTTTCTTGTTTTTATGATTTGTTCGTCTTTTTTTGCAACTCGGTGAAATGATTGCAACTCGGTGAAATGATTTCTTTCCGTGCTCACACATGGTTTTGCTTTTAGGCCTTTTGGTGTTTGAACTAGATAGCTGATGCGGGCAAATACTGTTTGGGGTCAATGCGAGTTTTTGGCTTTACGGTTTTAAAGAGTGCGCAAAGCCTCAGGCCTTTGTCTCTTAGATTGGTTTGCTGCGCCTCTCTGTGCAGGCTTGCGGGCAGTGCTTGGACTTAGCCAGCAAGCCGCGGGGTGTCACCTTGCACGATTATGTTTTCAGCAGTGCGAAGACGTTTTATGCTGGCTTGCTCAATGTCAACGCCGAGCTTGACGCCAAGGCTTCTTTGGCTAATGGCGGGACAGGGGATGCGCTTAGGCTGAGAGATCTTAGGCTGAGGGAGGAGGGGGGTTGGGGTTTGGCCTTGCTTCTCTGGGGCCAGTTTTTTTGGCCAGGCCCCGCAGCGCCGCACAAGCCTACGCGAGGTGACCCCTATGGTACTTGCGGACATCTTCTCCCGCATTGCTACAGGCTCCGGCCTGCCTGGGGACGGCCACGTCATCCACAGCGCAGTTCAGGGCCTTGCAAAGTTTCTCTGGAACGGAGCACCCACGTGTGCCAAGACCTGCAAGGTGGTGCTAGAAAGTGAATCCACGTGGGACGTCGGATCCTCGCGCCTGGCCCAGGTGGTGATTGGCGAATCTGCCACAGGGAAAGATAACTGTACCGATTTCCTGAAGCGGTTGCTGAAAGAGCTCCAGAAGGATGAGTTTCAGGTCGTTGCCCAGGTTATAGAGCAGGGCATGGTCACCATGAGCGGCCTGATTTCCATCCTGAAAGAGAACGGAGGACATGTCATATTTCTAAATCCAGAACTAGAAAAACTGCTGTCTAAGCAGCGGCAGCAGTACCTGCAGGCGCCGGACCTCATCAAGGTGCTCGATGGATCAACGACCGGCCGCGCAACCAGCCAAGATCGCTCCGCCGAGGCCGAATGCCTGGGCCACGCTCGGCAGTCAGCTCGGAACATACATTCGAGAGATGACTGGTGACAGCTGCGCCCGGCTGCGGCTTCTTCCAACCTTCCTCGATGACACTTTGGTTGCGGAGACCGCCTTCGCCGAGAAATTCCTGCCCAGACAAGCGTCAGAGCAGCTCGTGGCCTCGGTCCTCAGGTCACTGATGCGTAGTCAGCACCCTCACCCACAGCCTGTTCGGCCTGTTGGCGTGCCTTGGCCTGCCACCCTAGACACACGAGCGTCCGCATCGAAGAAACGCTAGGTGATGTTTGTTTCTGTTTTTCCTCGTGTTTGCGTGTGCGCGTGCTTACGCGCTCGTGTCTTTTCCGTGAACTCTTCTACCTTTCGCTTGCCCTTTTTCCAAGCGCCCAGGACTCTGCAGCTGAGCCAGAAGCTGTGCGTCTGCGGAAGCGACGTAGGCCTACGCCGTGTGTAAACGGGGCGTCTGCTCGGGAGGTTTGCGGCCCTGTGTCAGGCTCGATGAGGAAGCGGCGCTCGACAAGCCTGCTGTGTGTGCCACGCGTTGGTCCCAGAGTGCGGTCATGGTCCTGGCTGGGCACCAAGACGGTGGTGCTGCGGCTTGCGCAGCTGCGCCATCCAGCCCTGGAGTCTCAGCTGTGAAGAAGACCTTTGGCAAGGCTGGAGCGGGTTTTTGTCGCAAGACGCATTCCAGAAGCGTACGTTTTTGTGCTTGTGTTTGTGTTTATGTTTGTGTTTTTGTGCGTGTGGCTGTGTTTGTGTTTCTGTTTGTGTGTTTGTGTCTGTGTGTGTGTCTGTGTGTGTCTGTGTGTGTCTGTGTGTGTGTCTGTGTCTGTGTGTGTCTGTGTGTGTCTGTGTGTGTCTGTGTGTGTCTGTGTGTGTCTGTGTGTGTCTGTGTGTGTGTGTGTCTGTGTGTGTGTGTATGTGTGTGTGTGTCTGTGTGTGTGTGTTGTGTGTGTGTGTGTATGTGTGTCTGTGTGTCTGTGTGTGTGTGTGTCTGTGTGTGTCTGTGTGTGTCTGTGTGTGTCTGTGTGTGTCTGTGTGTGTGTCTGTGTGTGTGTGTCTGTGTGTGTGTCTGTGTGTGTGTCTGTGTGTGTCTGTGTGTGTCTGTGTGTGTCTGTGTGTGTCTGTGTGTGTCTGTGTGTGTCTGTGTGTGTCTGTGTGTGTGTCTGTGTGTCTGTGTGTGTCTGTGTGTGTCTGTGTGTGTGTCTGTGTGTGTGTGTCTGTGTGTGTCTGTGTGTGTGTCTGTGTGTGTGTGTGTCTGTGTGTGTCTGTGTGTGTCTGTGTGTGTCTGTGTGTGTCTGTGTGTGTCTGTGTGTCTTTGCGTGCTTGTTTGCCCAGTCCCTTCTCCATCAGGTCCTGGGCAGCCTGGGGGACGCGAACTTAGCCCTCCGGAACGGCCTCGTTCAAATAGCTGTGCCAGGCGCGCCGGCAGATGACTGTGTGAGACTCTTAGACGTGCTGACAGCCTTGGCTGAGACAGAAGTCTACGCAGGCAACCAGTTGTACCTTGCCGCTTGGCTGCGAGGGGGCTAGGGCATGCTCATTGTTGGTCTTTTAAAAACGAGCCCAAATGAAAACCACTATATATATACATATATCTATATATAGATGTATATATATATATATATATACATACTTTTTTTTTTGGGGGGGGGGGGGTGGCCTTAACAAAGACACACCCATATGTTTTCCTATGTTTCAACCACCTCATGGTGGTGTTCCTTTTGCTTTCCCTTTGAAACCTCTTCAAAAGGGGGAGCCTCAAAAAAGACACCCGTTTGGACACGGCTTCCAATTTTCGCAACTGAAACAGAGTCGTTCAGCTGCGGTCTTTTGAAGCCCCCCCCCCCGTGTTTGGTTTGTTACACAATTGATCTCCCGCAACCATTTGGCTCAAGGCCCTTTTGTATCATAGCAATACTCATGATTGCGTGACCTTAGAAACCTTGGCAGGCCGCTTACAGGATTATCCACAATGCAATCCACCAAGAACAATCCATCCTCCAATCATCCATAGTGGCATATTGGATTCTCTCCGGAATAGATCCAGGAACCTAAACAACGACCTCTACTACCACAAGGGTACCAGTTTCCTTCTGGGATAGGTACCCCGGCAATTTCCCCCCCAAACAAACCACAACAATTGGTCGCGCACCTCGAAGCACGGCTTAGGCTGGGACAATAGGCGAGTTGTTCAGTGGCACCCTTTTTCCCTTTTGTTTTCTGGCTTCCCCAAAAACTGGTCATCCCAAAAAAGGGTCCCTTTTTTTTTTTGCCAGGGACTGGACCACTGGGATAGGCCAAAGCTTGAGCAAGCTTGAGCTTGACCAAAGCTTGAGCAAGCCAGAGCATCGGAGTCTTTTTGCTTTGCATGGGACCTCAATGTTTCAAGTAAAGGCGGTTGGACCAGCTTGGGTTTCGTTCTCTCCGGGTAGAGATGTCGGCTGAGGAGAGACTGCTGCACTTCGACCAGGAAGCGCGCAAGAAGAAAGATGGCGTGTCCAGTGTGCCCACGTCGTCGCTGGTCGAGCCGCCGGACCTCACCGACGTCGAGTTCGCAGGACGCCGCTTGGTCGACGCTCTGGCGGAGGCTGGTAAGTGGGACTTGGCGGCGGCGGACGGACTTCCCCTCCGATTGAGTCGCAAGTCTGAGTGGGGGAACTTCAGGCAGCACTACTTCATCAGGCGAAAGAAAGATGCGGCTCAGTACAAGCAGTACGGCTACTGCCTTCGGGGCTCGCAAACGCTTGAGATTTGGAAGTGTTCCACCCAGGCGCAGGAGCGCTATGGGAACCCGGATAGCACGCCTAAGATGCGCCAGTGACTCGGGAGCACGGCCGAAATCGTGGGGGCCCGCAGGCTTAGCGCTGAGGAATCTTAGAGAGCCCACTATGACATATGTGATTGTGTAATGCTACCCCCCATTGCAGCTTAGTCAGGGTGGGGCTTTTGGTGGCGAGGTGGCCCAAAACCTTGTAAAAACAACAAGGAGGAAGAACCGATAGCGTTTTGTAGAACTAGACTGGCCAATCTGCAGCTGGAGCTGTGGCAGTGTGCTTCGTTTACTACACATGTACTGCAAACTTGCGATTTTCGAGAAGGTTCTGAAAAGTTGCGATTTTGGAGCTGGACCTCTGGAAGTGTGCTTCGCGTATTACGCTTATGCTGAAAAGGTACGGCTTTTGAGCTGGGGCGCAGGTTGTGAAAAGTTGCGATTTCTGTTGAGCTGAAGCTGCGGAAGTGTACTTCTCTTGTTACGCAGGTTGTGAAAGGTTGCGATTTCCGAGCTGGAGCTGCGGAAGCGTACTTCGTGTGTAGGTTCCCCCAATAGTGTTGACCCTAAGGGGTTCGTAGTTGGTCTGGCTGGGATCGATCGAGGGAGGGTTCGCGCTCCAGGTGTTGGCCCTGTGCGTGCGGTGCGACACAAGTGCGACGCAAGTGCGTTTGATGGCAGGGCCGCTACGCGGTGGATGTCTGGACAATCGGAGCTCTAAAGCCTTCGCAGTTGTAGCAAAAAAATGTGCGATATCACACGTAGCCTCAATTCACAGCATCGCGCGTAGGAGAGGTTGATAGGCGAGATTGTGAAGCACGATGCTAAGCTTGCTCATCAGAACTTGAAGAAGCTACGTTTGAGAAGGGGTATTGACATGCTTTGCTTTGTTTCTCATCTGCAGTTCGAGAGGTGTCAGAGTCTAGGGATAATGTTTTTTTTACATGCCCATAATATGCCGCACGCCGAGTGAAAATGGTGAAATAAGCCTTCACTGCTGGTGGCGTGGTTTTTAGATTTTGTCAACTTTTAGTAGGGAGCTGCAAGCGTTTTTTGCTACCACGTGTTTCAAAGAACACATGCAGGGGAAATGAGGCTGCGGGGTCCACACGATTTCGATGGCGCCGTCCTTCGCGAAACATTGGCTCCTGGATTTTCTCACCCGTGAGAGGAAGACAGATCTCCGCAGACACACAGTGAGCCCCACAAGCCTCAGCTCTTTCAAATGGAATGCATATGAGCTGTTTGTCTGCGCTCAGCTGACTGCCTAGCCAGCTCAGCTTGGTCAATGTTCCAGCCGGCCTCGGCCTTGGACGGAGTGCTAACGTGCTTTGCTACTACACCAGGTGTTTGCAAGAACGCATGTGCGGAAATGAGACAGCGGGGCCCGCACGATTTCCAGGGCCTTGAAAGCGGCTGGCGCCATCCTTCGCAAGACGTCGGCTTGTGCATTTGACCGACCGCGAGAGGAAGACAGATCCGGCCTGATTCGCGCGCCTCTCTCAAATGGAGTGAGCTGTTTGTTTGTGCTCAGATTTCAGACCAGCTTACTGCTTAGCCAGCTCCGGCGTCACCTTGGTAAATGTTCCAGTCGGCCTCGGCCTTGGATGGAGTGCTGACGTGCGATCCGAACAACAAATGCTGTTGGACTGGCTTCCCTGAGTTTCTGATTTTTTTTACCTCGAGTGGCGTGTTCAATGGAACCCGCCAAGGATTTGCAACTGCGCGCGGAAAATCTAAAGACCCGGATGTTTAAAGAATTGATGTTGCACAGTCTAAGCGAAAATGGAAACCGCTACGAGATCTATTAACGTCGAAACGAATATACCCTAGACACATAATTTGGACCTTGATTTAGATAAATATATATATATATATAGATGTCATATTCTGTTACTGAGGCTATGGAATGATGAATGGACATTTTTATGGAAGAGCTTTTATGTTACTAGGATATGAGTGTATACTTTTATATTACGTTGATATTGAAAATTTGCTTTTTTAAAAAACTGGATTTGTTTATATATTATATTTGTTTGTCATAATTATGATATCATTAGTTAAACCGAATTTTTGAAAATGTATATATTTTTGATTTTATACTGAACATGGATTAATGTCTTGCATGATATTTATACGATTTTGATCTCATATTGTTTAATTGTTGGGATTAATTAGTTTGGATTGTTCGTTTTCTTTGTTGGTTGTTGTTTGTGATTCGTTCTGCCTTATTTTATTTTATATGCGTTATATTTCGTTTATGTTTTTGTTGTTTTTGTTTATGCAGGCTATGTCAAAAAGTGTGTAGTTATTGTGGACAGGCGAATCGGAAGACTATGTTTGGCTTAAGGAATGTTAGATAATATTTTGCAATATATATATAAATATATATATATATATACAGCAGAGCTGGAGGACGGAAGTTTCTAACCAATGCTGTGCCTATAGGAGATGAATTGTTTTCGCGGAGCATCTCTTCTCTTCTTCTTCTCTGAGCATATCCTTTCTTTTCTTTCTCTTTCTCTTCCTCTTTTTTTTCCAGCTTCTCTTTTTCTTCCTCTTTTCGTTTTCCTCTTCCTCTCTCTCTCTCTCTCTTTATCTTTCTCTTATCTTCTCTTCTCTTACTCTTTCTTTTTCCCTTTCTCTTGAAAGTGCTGTGCCTGCCACGAAATCTGTACTCGACCTAAGGTGTTGCGCCTGCCACGAAATCTATACTCGACCTGGCAAAAGTGCTGCGCCTGCCACAAAATCTGCACCTCGGAGTACGAAAACCAGGCTCCTGCCACGTCGGCACGCAGCAGTTCGCGCGTCCACTCCAATGCGAAACACGAACCGCGCGACTCACCTGTCCCAAAGTGCTGCGCCTGTCACGAATTCTGATGCCCATGAGAACAAAATGCCGCGCCTGCCGCGAAATCTGCACCTGAGGTTGCCAAAGTGCTGCGCTTGCCACGGTGGAGGGCGCTTGCCACGCGAAACAAAGCTACCATTCGCGTGTTTCGCGTGCGGGTAACTCCACGTTCCGTACTACGGAAGTTTTCTTACTAGACTTCCTTTTGTTCATTTTTATATAATTTGTTGAAATGTGGTATATATCACATTGGAAATATAAATTAAATGAATCACCGAATGTTATAATAAAGCAGGGTGTCTGTGTTGGTACGAATTATAGGACATATTAGTATATATATATATATTTGTTGATCAAAGAATTGTATGAAATTTATGTATAAAATTGAAATCGGATGTTGATATATCGATCTTAATCCGGAGGTTGAGTGATGGGAGGACTGCTGGTCTAGCCTTGTCTTGTC